TTGTATAATACATTAATTAAAATGCACATTATGTATATTTAATGGTAATAAAAAACTAAAAAGTTAAGTGTGTGTGATTTTGATATAATATTTTAATAGTTAATAATATTTAACATTACAATAACACTATTCCAAAATGCATTGGAATTTAATCTTATCTACATAAGATCTGAAGCAAGGAAATTATTTATTAAAAAAATAGTTTAGAAAATATTACAGTTTGAAGGGCTGGGGATTTAGCCAGTGGCGCTGCGCCTGCCTCACAAGTGCAAGGTCTTGAATTTGATCACTAGTACCAAAAAAAAAAAGATACGGACTTAGAAAATATTACAGTTTTAAAGTTTAAGAATCTTGGAATCCAAAACTATCTCTCTATTGATAAAAAAGGATCAGCTCAGATGTAGCAGAGCCAGAACCCACACTTCCCTCCCAAACGCCTTTTCTGTCACTTTAGGAATTGTTCTCACTTGCTCTGCATGTGCCTCTCAGTCAGAAAAAGGACAGTAGTTAAGAGCATGGACTTTGAAGTCAGAGCAATCTGGCCTTCAATGCTATTAATTCATCTTTTTAACTTTAGAACACTTACCTACTTCCCTGAGTTACATTTATGCAATATATTAGGAGAAAACATCATTGGGTTAGCACAATTAAAAGAAATGTCAAATATCAAATATCTGACAGAGTTCTTGACATCCAGCAAATGCTGGTTATGTCAGTTATTATTAGAATAGCAGTAAAAGAACACATTAAAAAAGTATTTATTGCATAATAATGTAATATTATGAGTACTATCTAAGGTGGCTCAGATATGGTGGCCTGTACTTTTGGGCATATAAGCAAATGAGTATAATTTCAAAGTTCTCTTTTTTTTTATTGTCATACAAATACACTGATTTGTATTATCTTACTAAAACCTGTTTTAATGACTTTATATATCCAGTTTACTCAATAAATTATAGCTATGTTTCTTAGAATTTAACTTTATTTTCAATAAGTAATGCTTCAAGTACTTTAAAAATCAAAGAAATATGAAACATTACAATTAAAAATCCTCCATCCCAGTTCCTATATGTTCACTCCCATTATTAATACTTAAATTTAATTGTGTGTATGCATTTGCTTCTAGATTTTTTTTAATATTAGCAAATATAATTTATATGTTTCCCCCTGCATACATTAAGGATGGTCAATTGCTATTTCATATCTTTTTTTGCTTTTACATAATATTAAATTTAATAAATTATTTTAACATTATAACAAAAATTGCAGGTGACATAAACATCAAATACACACAATGATATCCTTCATTTTTTATGGCAGTATCATAATAGCGATTTTATGGTAGTCAACAGGCACAATATGTTATTTTAACTATTTCACATACATTAGAAACATATTTTAGCATATTTTTTGAAACCATTCCAGGAAATCTGTATTTATTTCATTTCCCTTAAAGATGACAAAGCTATGTCTATGTATTGTCTCACATCTCACACATTATATGGGATGAGTTGTCATTTTAGTCTGTCAGAATCACTACAACTTTTGCTCTTAAATCTAACAGATAGTGTATTTCAGTTTCAAAATACCACATTCTATAGATGAACAATTTATTTAGTCAGTACTCTACTGAAACAAGGTTATTTCTTAATTTTCATTTCAGTGCAATCAGCCCTGAAGTAAATAATCTTGAACAGAAAAACATTATGTGCATATATATCTGTTGAATAAATTCTTAGAATTCAATTCCTGAGTCAAAATGTAGATTCTCTTGTAATTTTGATAGATATTACCAAGTTACATCATTAGTGATTTTTAATTTGTATTTCCAAAAACAGTGACTTTGTCTTTATTTCCCCATAGTCTTTCTAACACAATGTGTTATCATTAAGAATTTGTTTCTCAATAGGAAAAAAACTGTTATCACAATTTAGCTCTCATGTCAGTTTTTCTTATTATGAATGAGAATGAGTATTCTTTCAAAGTAATATACTAATAGTATTTGTTTTTCTCTTCATATCTTTGCCAATTTTTAGAAATTGGTCTGTAGGCCTTTTCTTGAAATATTTAGGAATTAGTTTTCTGTATTTTTAAATATATGATTAACATTTTTAAGGTTTATATTTCTTTAAAGTAGACTGTTTTACATTTGCAGAAAATTCAAGCAGAGAGTACAGATAATTCTGTATATTCTGTACCCAGTTAGTATTACTATTATCCCTTATTATTATCGTACATTAGTATATTGCTAAAATTAATGAACAAATATTAGGACACTATTATTCAGTAAAGCCCATATTTACAGATTTCCTTGCCTTTTACGTATTTCTTTTTTTCTGTTCTGGTCCCCATTCCAGTTACTGAATACATTTAGTCATCAGGTCTCCTTAGGTTCCTCTCTGTTATGAAAGTCTGTCAAATTTTCCTTGTTTGTGATGACCTTTACAATTTTCATGAGTACCATTCAGGGATTATTTAGGATGTCCCTCTATTGGAATTTACTGATTTTTTTAAAACACGATTACTTTTGGCTCTGGGTCTTTGGGAGGAAGGCCTAAGAAATAGAGACTTATTTTCATCTGATCATATCAAAGGTGTATGTTGGAAACATTATCATCACAGGATGGAGATCTTGATCACCTGTCCAGGGAAGTATTTGTAGATTTCTTGACTATGAAGTTACTCCCCTCCTTTCTAGACTACATTCTTTGGAAGAAAGCACTATATATAGCCCTCACACTTGACAGATATCTATCTACATAAATTATTTGAATTGTTCTGCATGGGATATCTATTACTGGAGGTTATATATTTATTCATTAATGTAAATCAGAAGTTAGTCATAGTCTTTTAAAAATACTTTGAGTTATAATCCAATAAACTTTATTTTGTGGCTCAAATTGTTCCCAGTTTGGCCATTAGGAGATCTTTCATTTGCTTTCTCTGCTACTTTCACAAAACCTCTGTGTTTGCTTTGTTGTCTGAGTAATTTCTAACTCTGTAGTCCTAAAAGAGGGTCAGTCTAATTTTTTGCATTTCATTAAATCAGCCTACCCTTCCTTGAATCACCTTTTCCTCAAGTATTCTTTTTTTTTTCCCTTAAATTCTTTTATTGGTACATTTTAGGTATACAATATGTTTACATTTGTCATTGGGTGCTTGCACCTGTACATGATGTATCTTGGTTCTTTTTTTTTCCCCATTACCTGTGCACCCTTCACCCCCTCCACCCTTCCCTATTTACATAGACTCTGTTTCCTTTTTTTTCCTTTCTCACAATTTTTCCTTTCCCTTCTTTTCTTTCCCCTTCCCCTCTCACCACCCCTACCCCTTTGGACCTTCCACAACACAGAACGTCTGAGAAATTTCATGAACACCAAACCAGCACTCCAAACAATTTTAAGCAATAATCCTAGAAAAAGACAATGAAAGTCACAACTCCATGAGGCCCAACAGAGGGAAGCCACCAGGCAAGGTAAGAAACTAAAGGGACAAGGGGAAAAAATAAGAAATAAAAGAGCCAACAACAGTAAAACATCATGACAAGGATGAGTGAATATCTATCAATTATAACCATCAATATCAATGGCCTCAATTCACCAATCAAAAGAAATAGACTGGCAGAAGGTCCTCAAATATTCTTGTTTATTGTTTTTGTTTTATTGGAGAATGATACTCCACTAGGAGGTGAAATGTGGATGTTATGTGTGCTTGTTTCTATTGAAGTCTTATAGATTTTAGGTCTCTCAGCTGATATATATTAAGGGAGTATACCACTTTTGTGTAGGTGTGAGTGTATAATTTTATTTGCAACCATCTGTATCCATACTAATTAAACATGAGTACAATGAACATGAATGCCAGGGAGAGAACCATTAACTCATACCTTCACAAAAGCTGAAGTATAACCCTAATGTGCCCCTTCTTTTGTGTTTAGGTTTGAAAGCTCCACTCATTTCCAGGGTATTTACATCAGTAACTCACCTAGCCCTACTTCATCTGGTGAGTTTGTTTCTTACATTCCTAATGCAATTATATTTTCTTGTTACAATCTACTTTCCTAGGATCTCCCAACCTCCTTTTTACCAACTTTCTTCTTCTTCTTTTTTTTAAATTTGTATATATTTAGTAGAATGGCTAAAATCCAAAATATCGAGGGAAGGTTGTAGCACAATAAGAACTCCCATTATTGTTGCCAAGCATTTATAATGACTTTATTCATAATCACCTAAAACTGGAATCAAGCAAGATAGCTGAGGTTCAAAGTTTCATGGGATTTGGTGAATACATAATAGTACATAGGACATTTTCAAAGTCCTAAAACTTCCTCACTTGACATATTCAAACTTTTCTCCATCCAAATTTCAGGGAAACACTGATCTTCACTCTCTGTAGTTTTGTAGTTTCTGATATATACTGGAATTAGATTCAGATTATCTTTTCCAGAGAAGGTACTTTTACTTAGAAATATATATTTAGATTCCATGTCTGTTTTTCTGTGACTTGATAGCTCATTTTAATTTTACTGATATCCCCTCACATAAATATACCATAGTTTATTTAATTATGCATTTTTTGTTTTGTTTCATTTTGTTTTTTGTTACGGGGATCAAACTCACCACCTTGCACTTGCATGGCGTGGCACCACTGAGCTAAATCCCCGGCAAATACAATTTCTCTCTCTCTCTCTCTCTCTCTCTCTCTCTCTCTCTCTCTCTCTCCAGAACCTGGGATTGAACTCGGGACCTTGCACTTGCCAGGCAGGCGCGGGGCCACTGAACTAAATCTCCGCCCACTAATTATGCAACTTTTGAAAGCTATCTTGCTTGATTCCAGTTTTAGGTGATTATGAGTAAAGCGATTATAAACAACTGGCAACAATAATGGGAGTTCTTACTGAGCTACAACCTTCCCTCAATATTTTGGATTTTACCCGTTCTACTAAATGTGTAGTGAATCTCACTATTATTTTTTAAGCAAGACAATGTTGTTAAAAATCTTTTCTTTTTCTTTTTCTTTTTTGGCAGGAATGTGGGGTTGGGAGGCTATCATGGTGATGTGCTCTAAAGCTTGAGAGAACTTTATTCTGACCAGTAATCAACATTGTAAAGTAAATTACTTAACAGAATTAAGGACAAAAATAAATATCTTTCTTTTTTCTTTTCTTTATTTTGTGTGTGTGTGTGTGTCTGTGTGTGTGTCTGTGTGTGACTGTATGTACTGAGAATTGAACTCAGGGTCTTTTCATTGAGCTAGATCCCCAGTCCTTTTTTATTTTCACAGTCTCACTAAGTTACTCAGTTTTCCAGGCACATTACGAGGTGTTTTAGTGACCAGTTGGTCTTTTTCAGGCACTTAATGTCCCATTCAAAGACTTGGGCAGAACAATCAATAAAAGTGAAATATTAACTTTAAGGCAAAAGAAGAAGAAAAAGAAGTGTAAATGAAGTGTTCAAGAAGAAAAAGTGTTCTGAAAAGAAGTGCTCTGCAGAGTGAGTGTGGCCAGTTAAAGTAGGAAAAGAAGTATGCCTTGCAGAGTGCATCAGGGCAGGCTGAGAAGACTCACAGTAGCCAGGAGTTTAATGACCATCATATTTTATATCCTCCTTCTGACATCAGATCTAAGCCACCCCATTGAAAACCCATTTGATCTACTGCCATAAAATTGGTATTAATTACAGGGCTGGCTCAGCTTGGTCTTGTGAAGACCCCATCCCAGAAAAAAGGAAGAGACCATTTTCCCTGATTAACAGGTCTCTGCAACTGACAGGTCACAGCCAATTGCCCCAGCCACTTTGCCTTGCCCTAGTTTCCTGCCTCAGGCAGGACAGAAACTTTAAGTTCTGTTTCAGTTTCCTAGAGTGGTGGAATTACAAATGTGTACCACCCCACCCAGCTTTCTTTGTTTGCCATTGGTATGTCTTTGGTGAGGTATCTTGTTATGAGCTTTTCTCCATTTTTTAAAAATTCACATTGTTTGTACTCATTATTTAAGAATTGTTTGAATATTTAAGCCTGGCATGGTGGCTCAGGCCTATTATCCCAGCAGCTGGAAGGCTGAAGCAGGAGGATCACTGAAAACTCCAGGCCAGCATGGGCTGCATAGTGAGTTTAAGGCCAGCCTGAAATATATGCAAGATCCCACATCAACTCTGCCCCCACCCCCAAAAAATACTTTGAATATTTTGGATACTGGTTTGTATGTGTCTTGTAGATGTCTTCTCTAAGTCTGTTTTTTTTAATTTTTATTCTGTTTTCACAGGAGAAGTTTTTAATATCATCGAAGAGCAACTTACCTAATTTTATTTGTATGGATTATGCTTTTTGTATAGTTAAAAGCTCATCACTGAACCCAAGGGCACCTATTTTGTTAGAAATTTTATTGTTTTGCTTCTTATATTTAGATTTACTATTATCAGAAGTTCAATAATAGTGAATTGATCAATTAAGTTTGATTCTTTCTTAGACCTTGCATTTCTGCTCATCTGCTGTCTACTACTTTTTATGGTGTCCTTAACATACTAATCATAACTACTTTAAATTCCCTGATATTTTCAAAATCTAAGTCACATCTGACTTCTTTTGTTTTTTTTAGTTGTTTTTATTTTCCTTTCTATTTTCACATTTTTTGTAAAATTTTCTTGAAAACCAGACATGACACATTGAGTAAGAGGAAGTAAATAGACCTTTACTATTAGAGTTTATGTCACTATGCCTAAGAGTTGGATTGTCATGTTTCTTGGCATGATAGGTATCAGATGTTTCAAAATGCTCTGATATCCTTGTGTTTGATTATCATATTGCCTGGGGTTTCCCATAGAACTTTCCCTTAGATGGAATCTATACCTTGCTGATCTTTAAGCATAATCTATTGTTCAAGTGGTATAAAGAGTGAAGAGAGGAAACATTCTAAAATCATTTAATTTGTCTTTCCCTGAGCCTATGTCTTTGGGCTGTGACTTCACAAATGTTTAGCTCCTTTCATCTCTGGGTGAGATAAAAAAGCTGAAGGTGTTACAAGTATTGTTTTTTCTTTGGGATGAGATTCCAGTGAAGTTTTACTCTTGAACTGTCTTTTTTGGGAAGAACATGCAAGACGTATTTCAAAATGGTTTCCCCGCCGGAGATTTAGCTCAGTGGTGCTGCCGCCTGCCTCACAAGCGCAAGCTCCCAAGTTCAATCCCCAGCACACACACACACAAAAAAGTGGAAAACAAAATAGTTTCCCCTATGTCTTGCCAGAGATGTTAGAGAAATTCTTTTAATTTATCTTTAAGAAGATGGTGTGATTCTTGAAGTAAAACCACGGAAAAATAATATTCCTAAAATTGTGACCCTCAGAAATTTCTCACATTCATGATAATCCGTAGTCAGCATCTAACAATTTGCCAATATTATTATTAAACTATCCTAATACTTTATAGTGCCAGTTCTGGCTTCTCCGTGTAGGTTAACCTCAACTATGATTCTCTGTGTTCACCTTTGTCTCCAAATTTCTGGGTAGCTTGCTTCCTCGAAAATGTATTCTGAAATTGATATGGGGATAAAATAAATTAATCAAGGGAAAAGGAAAATATTTCTAGAAGTAAGCTCATACATATAAGACTAAGCAACCAGTTGAGATAATAAAATTTATAGTGTGCTTCTGGATTTTATTTGGGAAATTTGTACTACTATTTGAGATTATCATTTTAATGTTGTGCACTCTGCAAGTTTTGGCTTAATGGTGCCTTTTCATGATTAATTTTAAAAATACTTACTGATTTTTAATTTATCAATTTGTTATTTTGTGCTTTCTGTCTTATTTGTTTACTTGTTTGGCCTAGTTCAAAGTTGCAAGGATATTATTGTCTATAAAATTAAAACCAGCAAGCATTTCACCACTGAGCTACATCCCAGTCTTCACATTTATTTTTTATAAATACTCTTGTGTCAATGTTCATTTTTTATATAGATAACAAGGCTTATAAAAAAATCTACATTTGTCGAAAATATTTTTCTTTCAATAAGGATTTCTCTTTGTGCATTTGTCAATTGCCTACTGTTATATAAGTGACTGTATTTTACTTTTCCGATCGATTTTTCAATGTGCTTCTCTTCACACCAGTACCAAAGTATCTTCTTTGCTATTTAATGTAGTTGTTGGATAGTGTAACTACTCCAATTTTCTCTGCTTTTCCAAAATTAGATACTTTGCATTTCCATATAAATTTTAGAATACATTTGAGAGCTTTAATCAAGAAACAAAACAAAATCAAAGAATAAAACTAAACAAAATTAATGGGGGGAATTAGTAGAGTGGAATTGTATTGAATCTGTGAATTGGCTCAAGGAGAATTAGCACCTTTACAATACTGATCTTACGATCTCTTACAGTTTTTATTGTTGAAGCCTTGCTCAATTTTCATTCCATTAATTTGTTTCTTTTTATGGTATTGATGGTAATAACAGTTATTTTATAATATTTATAGGGCCGGGAATGTAGCTCAGTGGTTTCGCTGCCTGCTGCGCAAGCACAAGGACCCAAGTTTGATCCCCAGTACCCCCCCAAAAAAGAAAAGAAATATAATATTTATATACCATTTTGTGTTAATATATAAAATACAAATTATGTTTACATATTAAGAATGTTTTCTGAGACTTCTTAATTCACCTAGTTGTTTTAAATACCTTGGCATTCTCTCTATATATAGTATCACCTTTAAATTAAACAATGTTCCTCCTCTTTTTTTCCTTATTGCACTGACTAGGAACTCTAGCAGAATGTTGAACAAAAGAGGTAAGCATTAGTATTTTGTCTTGTTATTAATTATTAGAGGAAATTCAAAATGTTTTACCAGTAAATGTAACATTAGCTGTAATTTTTTGTCAGACCCGTCTTCTCTTCTTTTATAGTGTTTCCCTCTATTCCTTATTTGCTTTTTATTTATTTTTTTTTCCATTTACCTTATTGGTGCATTTTAGGTATAGAATACCATTACATTCACCATTGGGATCTTGTACCTTTACATGATGTATCTTGGTTCTTATTTTTTCCCCATTCCCTTGCCCTCCCTTCACCCCCTCAACTGACCCTTCCCTATTTACAAAGACTTTGTTTCCATTTTTTTTCTTTTCTCATATTTTTGATTTCAAGTTCTTTATCAATCTTCCACTCTTCCATTAAGCTTTTGATTTTTATGTTGTACTATTGTATATATATTATATATACATATATATATAATATATATATACAATTGGAATTGGTTTACAGATACTGCATTGTGCATTGTGTTGAGAAGTTTTGTATGTTTATGAAACCTGTTCTTATATAATGTCTCATCATGCTGTAAAGGAGGAAAAATATTTATTTCTCAACTCTCATGAATTCTTAGTTTGAATAGACCCCTATAAGAAATGACAAATTAAGAACAGAAAATGAATAGAAATATATTAATGTACATTTCCTAATTCAAGGAAGCCATCACTGGAATAAACAATCCTCAAAGGTGGCCTTGATTGCCAGCTCATAAAGCATCTTTACAAAGAATAATACATTTTTAGTAAAGTGATAAGACAAAGGAAAGAGAATGTGCAGTTCTAGGTATGGAAAGTTGTGGGAAAGCACTTAAACAGCAGTAAAAGGCTACTTGATGGTGATTGAATGTAGACTACATGCTGCTCCTTCCAGGCTGATAAGAGTCTAAAATTGTCTTTAGTGGTTAACCTTTCTGATAGCTAGTACACAGGAGAGGAGGAATGCATTTTGTCTTTGTAAATTACTTTTAAGCATAAAGAAGGAGGGCAGAAAGCTTTCCTCATCAGCTTCTTAACTGTGTTCAGCTGAAAAAAATCCTTAAGTCATAAAAGCATACTTGGGCATAGTATAGTCCAGTTTCCCAAATAGGAATTGTCCTTTCCAGGTTTTGGTATCTGAGCTTGTGTATTCTGGTCACATTAAATAAATTGGGAAATGGTCCTTCTATTAATATAGAAAGAATTTATTAAACATTAGTATTATTTTCTTATAATACATTTGATAGAATTTATGATTGAAGATATATGAGCCTGAAGATATTTTAGTATATGTGCTGCTGAAGCAAGCACAAGCCTGAAGATGTTTTGAAGGGGATTAATGACAATGTATCTTTTACTGTAATTTTTTTAAAAATTTAAACATTCACCATATAGTGTCAAACACTTGTATTAATTATAACTTTTGACTAAAGTAACTAACTTCTTTTTCAAATGGCAAACTAAGAAGTAGATTACTGCTGGGCTTGGTGGTGTATGCTTGTAATCTGTAATCCCAGCGCTAGAGAAGTTGAGGCAGGAGGATAGCAGGAGTTCAAGGCCAGCCTGAGGTACATTGTGAGTTCAAGGCCAGCCTGAACTACACAGGAAGGCCTTGTCTCAAAAAAAAAAAAAAAAGGAGATTATTCAGTTTTGTGATTTATAAATAACTTAATAGACTAGCAACTTTAGTTACTGAAACCATAAAAGTCAATGTGATGTCATTTTAATTTGTGAACATGAACTCATTCATTAACATAACCCAAACATAAATGATCTAAACATAAGAAAAACTACATAAACTTGAAATGTTGTCTTTGCTTCAGTATTTAATCATTAGTCTCTTAAAGATTACAATGATTATCTTTTTATGAAGCCAATATTAATCCACAGCTTAAGTTTACCTAAGAATTTTGAAAGCTATGTCCAAACTGACTTCCTATGAGATATAATTGGTATTGTTTTAGGTTTGTCATAATTTTGTTTTCCTTTTTTTATACAAATTTACCAGGTTTTTATAATTT